AAAAAAAAAAAAAAAAAAGAAGGAAAGAAAGAGCTTTTATATTCCACAGTCAAGGGTGTGCATAGAATGAGAAAATATAGATGTAGGGCATCAAGAAAGTACCCATTCCTTGATCCTTGTGCATTATCCATCTCCTTTATTTTTTTATACCTTCTATATCCCTATACTTGTAGAACATAAATGTAGGCCTGCAACACTGCTTATATAGTGCATAGCTGAAATCAGGTTGTATTTTGAATCTTATAGGCTGACTGACCTTTTCATATATAAAAAGAACCACTGAAGGAGAGGTAACTTTTTATAAGCACTAGATGCTGCTTACCTTTCTCACTGGTTAATATTTTTTTTTAAATTTCATTTACTAGAGAATAATGACATAAGTCAAGACTAATAAGCTAGCTTAATTCCCATGTGAACCTACTCGGTAGAGAGTGCAGATACAGGTAGAATAGAGAAATAGGAGATTATGTTAGGAACTAGAGAAATACCACCATTCAGTATGTTCAGATACAAACATTAAAATAATTTAATATCATGTGGAGAGATATTTCAAATCTTATCAAAATCCACATTTATCATGAGAAAAATTATAGAAAACAAAAATATAATTTGTAGCTTCCCATATGTCAATATGAGGAACTCCTGACAATAATCACATACTTCTTCACCAGGTTAATAATAACCCTAACCTAAAACCTAAAATATCTTGCTAAAAAATTGTCAGTAGTAATGCTTGGTAAATTTTTTGTTAGTAAGATGGGTTTTGATTGATACATAACAACTTTTAAGACTGTTTCTCATTGTAATCCCCCTAAGGCCCTTTGAAATTAGGACAAGGTTAGAAATATAATCAGTGACCTTGGCACAGATTTTTCCCTAAGATACGGATCTTAGAATCAAATTATGACCACTGATGCTTTCAGCATTAAGATCACAGCCAAACTCTTTAATAAATTCAAAATAGCAGCTACCTTCTCTTTTTCAATGGTTTCCACACACCAGTGTCAGTTACTGAGTAAGGCTATACATAAGAAATTTGGTCTTTCTCCCTGGTTTCACCAGAAAGACCAACCATATGATTAGAAGGTTGAGATTTTGAGCCTGCAAGACAACCAGAGAGGGAAGAAGGCTTCAGATTAAGTTCAATTATTTAATCAATCATGCCTACATAAAGAAGTCCTAATAAAAACTGGACACTAGGACTTAGTGGAGATTGCTGGTTGGTGAACACATTGATGTGCCAGGAGGGTGACAGGTCCTAATTCCTTGGTGAGAGGGCACAGAAACTCTGCATTTAGGACCCTCTCATATCTTGCCTTATCTGTCTCTCCATTTCTCTGTTCCTTATCTGTATCCTTTACAGTAAAACTATAATCGTAATATAGTGCTTTCCTGAGTTCTGTGAGTTATTCTAGCAAATTATCAAACCCATGAAATTATCAGTGGGAACCTTTGACTTTGCAGCTAGTTGGTCAAAATTTTGGGTAACCTGGGAACCACCTGAACTTATGCTTAGTGTCTAAACTGGGGCAGTCTTGTTGAAGCCTGTACCCTTAAACCTGTAGAGTTTGGTGCTAATTACAAGTGTTTAGTGCCAGAACAGAATTGTAGTAAATTAGTTGGTTTTAAACCAGTGGGGAATAGAATAAGCAGTCCCCTAATTTCATTTTTAGGTTTTGTCATTTTTAATAATCAAAAGTGAGAAAGCAGAACTGCCAACAATTTAGAGCAAACAAGTTAATATAGAGAGATGCATCTGCTGTAGTTTGTTGCATATGGTCTTGCTGGTCTGCCAGTTTTAAAAGCCCTACAAGATTAAACATAAATCTACTTTTGGCATTTTAAGAATTCATTCCCTTGCTCTGCTTTGAGCAACGACAGTCCATCTCTGATGTTAGACATATAACAAAAAAAAAAATAAAATAAAGTGAAAGGGTCCTAAGCCAATCCACAGAACTTAATTTATATAATTTATATAACCTATAGTTATAGATGTTTTGATGAGTTTTCATATTAAAAACTAGAAGCATAATGGCAAACCTGTTTCCGAGGAATTCTGCACTGCAAAACATACAAATGCCATAAAAATTGATATCATTTCGTTCTTGCTCCTGTTGTTCCAGAATTTCTTTCTGTAAAGTAGAAACAGATTTATGGTATTATCTTTAATAAATGCACAGGTGGTTATTAAAAAAGTCACAGTCAGATTGGCAAGAAACTGAAATGGAAGCACAAAGGGAGTACATGAAAATTGCCAATTTTTAAATTTCTCCATTGCTGTCCTTGTATCAAAATTCCAAGTCTGTACCATAAAATGCCTATAGAACACTGCACTTGGATAGCTATGTAGAAAACAGGCATGTGGTGGAATCTCTGACTTGCTGGTTTCCCTAATTCCCAGTTTAGTTTGTAATCAAGTTCTGATACATTTTTCACTCAAACTTTCATAGGACTTTTTCTCCACCATTCTCAATGTCATCACCTTGAGTCAATTTTTATTCAGTCATTATGGGATTACTATAATTGCAATCCCTCTTCCATCACATCTATCCTCTTTCTTTGCTGCCAGAAGAACTTTTCTTTAATACTGTTTTCACATACAATTATCTTGTTACATTTCAACTCAAAGAATTCTAAATATGCTCTGGAGATGTCCTGCTCTACTCAGCGTGGTTCTATATTTTCTCTGTCGTTGTGGCAATTTTATTACCCTTTACTTTTTCACTATTGCAAATTGTACATGTTCATTCAACTTGATTCCCATTTCTATCCTGCAGCCATTTCTGACTACAGTTCAATATTTAAGAGCTCAGGCTCTGAAACACTGAGTAGATCTGGATTTGAAATATACCCCTCTTCTGTAATTGATATTTTATTTAGCTTCTCTAATTCTCAATTTTCTCATTTCTAAGATGAAAACAAAAATATTATCTCACAGCACTGTTTACAGTATTAAATCAGATAATATATGGAAAGAGTTCAAACTGTGTATGGGTCATTAAATGTTGGATATTATTGCTATCCAGCCCACATCAATTTCTACTATCTATTATATATCATTTCTTTGGTCATTGTAGCCTATTTTGTCAAGGAAGGGAAATGAAAAACCTTTGACGTTAAAATAAAGTCTCTATGCTGTTCTTACATTATATTTGCACACTACTCTCCAGGTTCTCATAGCATGGTGCTAATAATAGAAACTTCGTAAAGTTTATTGCTGATTCTATAAATATTTACAGAATAGCATAGAAATGAGCTAGCATTTAGAATCTTGCTAAATCCCATGTGGCATTTCTGGAAAGGTACTGCCAAACATCTAGAAATATTAACACATTCAATAAAAGAAATAAATTAAGAAGTTACCACGATGAAAGTCAATTCAATGAACTTTTGGTTTCTGCCTTGATGGACTAATGAATTTCAGACTTACTCTTCCATAGACAACTACTATGAAACAAATTGCTTCATATGTTTTATGTTTCCAGGCATTGGTAATAGCACAGGGCTGTGATCCTTGATACAAAAAAATATTGCCAGTTTTCTGTTAGGGGCTATTTTCTAAATTGCAACATAGGGAAGATAAATTCAAATGAATAGTAGTTACCCTCAATAGGCAGAGAAAAAAATGGCTGGAGTTCAGGATGCTAAAGTGAGTGATTTTTTTTTTACAGAATAAGATCCTAGAGAGAAGAGAGCCACAGAGAATGAGCTCAAGAAACTTGTACTGGGACTCTTTTAATCTTAGGACAAATACCTTTCCACACAGCAAGACTTGTGAGGTCTGACAGAGGAGTTTCTAGTGGATATGGGGCTCAACGGAATTTTGAAGTTACAGCATTGGAATATGTTGGGAGGTCTGACAAGCAGAATGGAAAGAACTTGTTCAACACTTCAGGCACATAGCAAATATAATATAGATTAACACTTTTTCATGAGGGTTAGGATTTTATGCTGGTAGCAAATGAACAGATAAAAGTTAAAGAAATAAAAAGGGTAAGTAAGATTAATGCTTCTAAATCTTATATCACAAAATAAGTCACCAGTCTGGGACTCAAGCTTTGATGTGTAGAAAAGAAAAATTTGTCCAAATTCAATAGTGGTTATCCAAAGTATATGTATGTATGACTGCTAGAAAACCCCGTTAATGCTATCATCTTTATGTAATCAACTCAAAATGTACTCTACCAGATTAGCTTGCTGAGGGCATGCCACACAGCAAGCTTATCTGGTAGACTACATTTTGAGTTGATTACATAAAGATTATTTGTGGTTACCATACTATGATGTGAGAAAATAAAACAGCTTTAAATTCTGTGCTTTCTTCTTCTGTAGCAAATATGTTGACAGCTGCTGATCAGGCATTGATGAGGAAGAAACTGGGTAGAAGACATTTGGGCAAGCAAGAAAAGTATTTTTTCTTTTTCTGAAATTTTTTATTTTAAAGAGGTGGGGTACAATTCAGCGTTAGGTATACAAATGTTCATTATGCAGGTACCCTTGCTGATGAGGTGTGCGACCTGCCCCTGGGAGTTATATATATATTTTTCTCTTTATTTCCTTCTTTCCTATCTGTCTTCCCTTCTTCCTTTTCCCTCCCCCTCTGTATTTCTTTCCTTTGTAAAGCTTGGCGTCTGATAGAATTAGTTGTGGCATATGTTTGAAGTCATTTAAGAACAAAAATATATATATAATATTAGGAGACAATCCATAGAAAGTACCACAAAGATGTGCAAATCAAAACCCATCAGCTTTATTTGGAAAAATTGGAAATTTTTTTCCTTTCTACATACCAGGTTTTACTTTTTCTAAGAAATATTTCATGCAGAGCTATATACTAGGTTTTATTCATTTAGGTTTATTTTGAGCTACATACTAGGTTTTAGGAGTAGAGGGATGAAGAGAATGCTACAGATGTTATATGTTTGAGCTTCTTAAAGTAGTTGACGAAATCAGATAAAATTTTCATTACAAAATAGCCTTGAATAAAAACCATAGTTGTAAGAGTACAAGATCAGCTTATGTACTAGGCAAACAGTCATAATAACAAGCTGTATGTTTTTCTAATTGGTATAAAATGTCAAGTATGGTAGCAAGGTCAGTGCATAGTCTTCCATCTTTATTCATAAGCTAAAAGCAGAGGAAATATTAATAAAACAGCAGATATAGCAGATGGCACTCAACATAGTCACAGGGCACTGACATATAGGTAGAAAATAGAGATGTGAGTTAGGTTGAATGTTATAAAAATCATTGAATTTAGGAAAGAGCAATTTAGAAAACATTTATTTAGCTAAGAATTTCTATACAGGAAAGCAAAAAAAATGGGATTTGCTTAAAATGACAAATCCGATGGAAATAGTTTTTTTTAACACAAGGGAGTAAAGCTAAGGCTGATGTTAGTAACTACAGATATAAAAAACATTTAATGGATACTAACAAGTGATAGATTTACAATACAGTTTCCTGGTTGAATATAAGTGGCTGAGAAAACAGTATACACCTCAGTTTCCTTCCCAACCTAGGCGAAAGGCAGCAGCACGGCAAAACCTGCTAGGAATTCTGTCTAGGAGCCCAGTGGCACTCATCTCTCTACTAAAGTTATAGGAGAGGCTCAAAAGCTCCACCAGAAGAGAAGCAGCATCTCCTATTTCTCCTGCTTTCTATTTCTGGAACCCCGGATTACATTTGAGGTACTTGGGATTATTTCATTTGCACCTCCACCTTGTTCTAGTAAGTGTTTGTTCAGGCTGCTATAAAACAATGTAGCATAGAAATGGAAGTAAAAGAAGAAAGAAGAATTGGGTAGGTTGGACACATAAATTAAAAATAAGTAATTCAAGAATACATAAGTAGATACACACAAATTCAAGCCTAAAGGTGGGCCCCAAATTTGGTTCTCGTCTTTGATAGAAAGACAGATAAGACAGAGGGTTTGCATGGAGAATTTGGCTGGCCTTTGTTATCTGTTCCTGGGAGGTAATTTATAAATACTTGGAATTACCTGAGTATTGGAGTGTCTTTTTTATTCATAGTGGGCCCTCTGACCACACCTGATACTTTATACTAATGAGATGACTCAGGATGGGAACTAGCCGGGCCAGAAAGACCAACCTGGGATTAGTAGGTCAAGGCTTTGAGTCACATATCAGCCTGACCTGGGAGGGGAGATGGAGACTGAGCTCAATCATGCAACCAATGATTTAATCAATCATGTCTACTCACTGAACCATCAGTAAAAACTCTGAACACAGAAGCTCCAGTAAACTTTCCCAGTAACCATTAATATTGTGATATTGGGTCTTATGACACTTGGATGTCCTAGGAGAACAATGCATTCCCCTATGGATAATGGTAACTTTAGCATTTAGGAATCTCCCAGATCTTGCTCTAGGTGTCTTTCTTACTTGTTCTGATTTGTATCCTATTGCTATAATAACACAGTAAATATAAGTATAGTGCTTTTCTGAGTTCTGTGAGTCATTATAGCTAACTATTGAACCCAAGGGAGTAGTGGGAACCCCTAAATTTATAGCCAGATTGTCAGAAGTGATGATAGCCTGGGGAATGCCCAACTTGTGGCTGATGTCTGTAGTGAGGGCAGTCTTGTGGAAGAGGATGCCCTTAACTGTGAAGTTTGGCCTAACTCTGGGAAGCTGGTGTCAGAGTCATTGTGAATATGTAATAAATAAAGTATGTGATATAATGGACAATATACTTAATATATTCTATAGACCAAACAACATAGGGTTGTTTTTCATATAGATCTTCAAAAAAAAAACTCATCTCATCCAAGGTTAACCTCATCCCAAAGCACATCCCCACTCAGTGAAAACAGTACATAGGGGTGGAAAGAATTGTCATGATGTGGTATAGATACTTACTCACTCCTGATCAGAAGTGGAGAGTTTAAGGCTATCTAGAAAAATTATGAACATCCTCAAACAATCTTCCCTGAATATAGTTTTATAAGTATTGGTTGGTTAAAATTTTGAAGTTGTCCTCCTTCCAGTCAGGTATCTGGAATATTGCTTTTATAAGCTCATGGATACAGTCATGTGCCTCAGAAGACCATCAAGAAACATCTGGGTAGACTCTTTCTTTTAAAAACTGCATAGTCTTTGATGAGGTTTAA